GTCATTAATAATGGTCTGTTAAGTTGTTACTTTAATAAAAATTCGTGTAATATCCAACGTAGTGTACTGAAAATGGCGATCACTTTTAGTACACTATCTTGGTTTTTGTATGTATTTTGACGAAAGTGGCAACTTAGTTGAACATTAATATTGATAATGCCTTATATGATAGATTTTTTTCAAATAAATGCCCAACATAGTGACCATTTTTAATTTTGTCTCATTCTGTAAGCCAACTGATAGTAACTAATATTTTTATTTTTTCAAGTTGTGTAAGTTTATTAGTGTTATGGTGTAAATGAGTAAAATTAAATTATATGATGATAACCAATATAAAGAATTAATCCAAATCCACATAATATAATTCTACAATGAATATCGAGTATTCCTTACAGAGTAATGCTACAAGTACATAATGGTGTACATAAGGGTGTACATAATACTCACATTGTATTGAACCCACAAAAAATAAAAAATCAAGTGGACCCACACCATGTGAGAGTTATGTACACCTCTATGTACACTTATTATGTACATGTAACATTTTTCTTACATATAAGTGGGACTGAGACAGACAGTTAAGCCAAACGAGTTGCTCTTGAGTTTAATTCGCTAAAGTTCGAGTTAAGCTCGTCCAGTAAATAAGTCAAGCTGAGTTGATATATCTCGACTACTTGAGACTCGTTAGCTATAAAGACAGAGAACTTTATGTTATTTTTAATAGCTTTGCTAAACTGCAATTTGAACTCCGCTCATCAATTAAATTGATAAATACTTGTTTACTTGACAACTCGACTCAATAAAATAAGTTTGAGATCGAACTTAAGCTCGAGTATCAGGAACTTGACTCGTCTCTCGTCCCGTTCAATAGAGTTACCGTTTTACTCGACTACGCAAAAGTGGCTTATTAAATTTGAAATTCCCAAAATAATAAGTTGCAAGTAAAACAAAGTGTTAAAGAGTTAGATTTTTATATTCAGTAAATTACTTTTCTAGTTTTCGTATAATTTTTTTTATGAAGAAACGATGGTGCAATAACCGACAGGCCGACTCGTGACCAATCAAACCCAACCATATTGACAGTGGACTATTTTTTTTTTTTTTTTTTGATCATTAAATAAATTTGTATTGATCAAAATTGAAAGTCATACAACCGAGTCGGCTTTCAAGAGCATAGTGGGTAACCACAAGTCGGTTCCTCACTCGCAAACACAAAAATAACGAGAACAATGTTCTCCTCCAACCAAGATCTTCTAAGTGCTCAAGCACTTGGCATCAACCATCCCCAAAAATTATCAAAATTTTATACTTCAACGTCTAGGCTTCTTCTCTCAAATTCGGCAAGAACACTCGGAAAAAGAGAAAAAATAGATCGGTAGACGTGGGTCTTTACCTTTCTAATCACAAGGCTTGGAGGTTGGGTTTCGCCCTAAAAAATCAATCGGTTTCGCGCATTCCAAATAAAGTAGACGGTGGCCGCAAGCGCCGCTTTCTTCAATTTGGCTCTCCACGTCGTACCTTTCCCTTCTTTTTTGGTCCATTTGAGGGCACCTTTTAGAGTGGTTGGCATGTGACGGAGGCTAACCCAAACTCGAATTGCACTCCATATCTCCGAGCTAAAGGGGCACTCGAAGAAGAGGTGGCTCGAGGATTCGTTCGCGGTACTACAAAGGGGGCATGCCGGGTCTTCATTTAGGAACTCCAGACGATCTTTTGTTTGGAGCCTATTCATCACACCAAGCCATAAAATGAAGGAATGCTTGGGGGTATTGCAACTCCCCCAAACAATCCCGACCCATGGCTTCTCAATACCCTTTGGTCGGAGAAAATCGTAACACTTGCTAGTACCGTCTTGCTTGTTGCGTAAACTCCAAGCACGGAGGAGGGCTTCCGCACCGCGCTCGCTACCCGTCTTTTCAATCAAGCTTTGCCGGATTTCAAAGAGAGATTTAAAGACAGTGGACTAATTTTATTGAATTAATAGTTGATTTTAAAAAAAATAAAAAAAAAATTGAAGATAAATATAATAATCGCACGCTGTTGATCTCACATGTATATATTCATAAATTATGTATATTAATAAAATTTATATAGCTAATTAAATCAGTCAAGCTAGACATAATACATTGTATGACTTTGGTTATAGTGATCAATGCTTAAATTGATACAACTTTTTTGACAACATTGATAATGGCATTGCCATGGATTACTAAATGCACACTCTTTGGTTAGAAATTCAAAAGCAATTACACTTTTTAAGTGTGCATTGAATTAATTCTTAAATATTAAGTTATAATTTATATTCACATACATATTAAATTATTCACTCTCCCTATCTCTCTTTTTTTATTTGTCCTTTTTGTTTTCCCTATATATATATTTTTGGCTAAAAGTTTAAGTATATTCTATTATTATCACCCAACTTACTCTTATAGGTTTCTATGAGGTACACTTTCTTTTTTTTTGGTACAGGGACCTTCCGGTTTCTTTTAGTTCATATCTTTTCATGGTAAAAGCTATAACAAGCTAAGGAGAAGGAAGAATATAGTAATTACAAGCTACATACTCATCAAGCTCGTCGAGCACTCAAGCATATAAGCTACATGATGAGTTCGTCTCGAATTCCAATTTGAGGTACTCTAACTCGATTGATCAAGTGTTGACTCGAGTCAACTCATTTGTAGCTCGACTCATAATAATTAAAACCCTTTTGAAGTAAATCTATTTTCTGCGCATCTCAATGGTTGAAAATAGTACTATACATTGTTCGATTTGTGGCACCTTTAGTACATGAAAGGACAGTTCTATTGTTATTAACATTTTGTGACGATCGATAACAACAACCATAATAATAAATAAGTAAAGATGAGATAGTAAAATTAACATTACTTAAACCCATACTCAACCTCCAAGTAGTAAAAAACAACAATGCTCTCAACCGATTCTCATAATTATGAAACCTAACCGAAAGCCTAACACCAAAAAGTTTAAAAAGTCGTTATTCTGTGGACAAAAAAGTCAACCGAATCTGCCTCTCATTAAACTAAAGGAAGCCAAATATATATATATATATATATAGAAGAAGATACTTCCTTTTTAACTTTCAACAATGGCCAAAAGAAGCAATAATTATTTCCAAGAAAAATATTTGCTTTGGAAAATGTAAGTCAAAATTCCAACTTTTATTAGCATTCCACACTCAATTTGAAATTATCATATTATCATATAAAACAAAACTTTGTACTCAATATATCCCAACTCAAATTGATTAAAAGAAATAACACACGAAATTACAAAGTAAAAAATTTAGTTAATTTCAAATTTAATATCATACTTATGAGATTACAAGAAAATGATGAAATTTCAAAGGATATACATTCAAACAGAATTCCAACCGCAATTTCGATGAATATTTTTCAATACTATTATTTCTGTTGGAATTTTCTAATGAGTTTCAACACAAATTCCAACAAAAACATTCTGTTGGAATGAGTTTTCCATTAAAATTTCGGTTGGATTTTGACGATTCCAATGGTAGTTTTTTCAAATGAGGTAGAAATAAAAACCGTTAGAATCATCAAATTTCATCTAAAATTACAATGAAAAAAACACATTCCATCTGAATATTTTTGTTGGAATTTTCGTTGGAATCATTCCAACAAAAGCTACACTATTGGAATATCTGTTGAAATTTCCATTAAAATATATTACCATGCATAGGATTTTCCGTTGGAATATAACAATTTTTTTGTAGTGTAATCAAATAAAATAAACACTGAAAACATAATAGTGAAACACAAACAGGAACACAATATACAATTTACCATTCTATTTGAAATTACAAAAAAAATCTTTTTAAGCTACACTCCATTCACTTTATTACCTATGTCATGCATCTTTTTAAATTTATTTTCTACAATATTATTATTGAAGAAAGGACTTTTAAGTTGGGATTATTTAATATAAAACTTATTTAATGAGATTTTTTTATAGAACTTATTTATTTATTTATTTATTTATTTATTTTTTTCTCTCACTAGCTACTAGGCCTTTGATAGTTAGAGCCTGGTACTTTGTTCATGCCCAACAAGCAATATTCCTTTCACCACAAATAGGGATTCTCTGCAACTTTTCTACCTCCCTTTTTTTCCTAAGTTTGGCAAAAGTGATTAATTAATTTTCCTTAGAAAAAATGAAAAATCAAATCAACTCTCATGTCATGTCATGCCCCCAAGAAAACTTTGTAGCTACTCAAGAAAAATTAGCAGCCAGCATTTAGTGTTCTGTAACTGCACTAAACTGTACTAAACTAAAGCTGGATGTAATGTAACATAAGTTATAAATAAATATTTAAATTAGTAAAATTAAATATGAAGATATAACTAAGGGGAGATGCTCGTCGGGTGTTTGCAACCGTTAGATCAACTATCATCGACGGTTACATGATGATTTAACGGTTACAAACCTAACGGAATTGTTCCGCAACGTAACCGTACCATTTCCCATATATAAGTTTCAACTTTCAATTTTGGAAGTATATATATATATACTGAACTGTACATTTACAGAACTGAGTCAACTGACACAATATCCTGCTTTTTAATCAACCTATATTCCAACTTTCCAATGATTCTGTAGTTCAGTATTGCTCAGGATTTTTTTTTTTAAATTTTAATTTATTTTATGTAAATAAAATGGAGAAAAGAAATAAACAGTTGGCTGCCAGACAACATGTATAACATATGATCAGTTAATTTCAGTACCACAAAACAAAAAAAGTGCAGAAATTACTTTGTTCACAAGACATTGTTCTTAATGTAAAACCATGAACAGAGACAATACTTAAAACAAACAAAACCCATCAAACTAAACCCTTTAACTTAAGCAACAAACCATCATCAATTCAAACCCATATACTAAAAAAAAAAAAAATCTTTTTTTCCCAACTTACCTCCAAAATTATTCAAATTGCACTTTCGCCCCTCCGAAAATATTCGGTCTCATGAAACCGAAACAGCCGAGACCGCAACCTGGCTGCCCTCGTCGTCATCCACAGGTGCCGGCATGTTCAAATCGATGTCCAAAACTGCCCCATCATCCCTCGAATTTATTATTTGCTTTTCGGGGCTCGAACTATGGACATTTCCCAAATTCGCCCCGGCCTGCCCGACGAAATGCGACCGCTTGTGCCCTCCGAGCGCTTGCCCGGACGGGAAAATCCTCCTGCAGAAAGGGCACTCGTGTAATTTCTCTGCCTTCGGGCAGCTGCCCAAGTTCGGATCGGGCAGCCGCGGCTCTACTCTGACCTTCTTGTGGCTTGCCCGGTGGCCGCCCAGCGCTTGATAAGACTTGAACACCTTGCCGCATTCCTCGCATCTATACTTTCCACCCCTCACTTTACCTTTAATTCCCTTTCCCACCCCCGGACTTTCCCAAATCTTATTTCCGTCCTCCCCTCCATCGGAATCGTGAAATTCCAGATCGGCCCTCGTCCACGTGTCCCTAGACAGCATGATCAGGCAGCGGGCAACGTGCTCCTCAGGGGTAGTATCGGAAATCGAGCTCAAAGATGACTGCTTTTCGTTTTCGTCTTCCTCTCCGGCTTCTCCTTTTCCAAGCTTCGACCTTTTTCTCACCGGAAAAAACCCGCCGGCGTAGAAATTGTGATCGGCCGTGATGGGCTTATCGATCTCCTCGATCTCTTCTTCTTCGGATGATGATGATGATGATGACGACGAGGACGAGGATGGGAATGAAGTTTGAGATACTGAGGTCGAGGAGAATGAGTTTATCGGTTGCCGGAGATGAATTTTTTCCGGCCGGCCGGCGGCCTCGTCGTAGAATTTCATCATGTGGGATCTCATGTGGCCGCCTAAAGCTCTGCCATTGGCGAAGTTTCTGAAACAGAGCTTGCATCTGTGTCTCTTTTCCATCTTTTTAGCAAAATACCAGAAAGAAAAAAAAAAAAAAAACAAGAAATTCGAAGTAGAGAGAGTGTGTGCTAAAGAGAGTAGGTGACAAGCATTCCTCCAACCAGGGGAATATGTATATGTTAGATGTATAGATATATGTGAGTGTGTATGTATAATGTACACACACAGTGTGTGTGTGTATAAGTAAAATATGTGTGTAGAATTGTGTGTATGTATATAAATATAATTATATTCGAGTTATGCAAAGGAGATTTTGGATTTTGTGTGAAGTTATATTTTGTTTTGAAACGGAAAAAGGCAATTAATGAGGAAAAAGAAAAAAACTTATGGAAGAGCATTTGTTTAGTAGACGCGCAACATGTAACATGCGAGTTTTTTTGATGTTTTCGAAAATACTAAAGTTCCGTTACGAAATTATTCAGTCGATATTTTATTTTACTTGGTTTTTCTAAAAGTCCTTGACTTTTATTGACCAATTTGAGATTGGAAAGAAAGAAAATACGTACGTATTTTGTTTTGGCAAATTTCTTTCAACCTCGAAATTATTCAAATTTTTTGAATTCGTGTTTTAATGTTAGTAAGTGAGTAACAGAGTAAAAAGTTATCTTAAAAAAAAAATCCTAAAGATAATAATTTTTTCAACCACATCTCCAAAATTGAATCATATCTTAATTATAAAAAAAGGGCCAATTTCGTGTATTTTGACAGTTAATTTATGAATTTTAAAATTTTATATGGAAAATAAAATAAAAAATCAAATACTTTTGTGATTAAATTGGATATTCTTGGAATTACGGAGGGGTTACACGAAATAATAAAGCCCGATTTGCTTTTATTCAAGTCACAAGCAAACTGCTTTGTTTGTAATTTATTACACACCAAGAATAAATAATCACCCAAATAAACTGTAATCCTTGACTAGCCAAATAAATAAATATTGTTATATGTATAGCAAAATAAAAAATAAAAAATAAAAAAATGAATTTACCATAAATTGAGAATCTTGATTTTGTTATGACAATTAAAAGGTGAAGTACAATATTGCTGAAATTAAATGTGATTAACCTCAATTTGAAGCAAATTAATCACTAAAATCAGATTGCAAAACATTCATATTCTACATTAAACAAAATCAAATGCATTGAGATTGTGGCATGCACCCTTTTACCAAAAAATGGGGGATATGCATTTAATCGGTTGATTTAATTAATTGTGAAGCAGATTTTAGAAACATTAAAATGCCTGACACTGCAATATTTTTATAATTTTTTAAATTGACTATTGTTTATTATTAATTAAAAAAAGGCAAAACTGCAATTTTAGTCATGTTAGTTTGATCAAATGCGTTTTTAGTTTTCAGAATTGAACATTTTTGCTTTTTTATCTTATGATTTTAAAATTCAACGCAATTTTAATCATTTGAGACTGAAAATGAAACAAAATTTAAAATTACATAACATAAATTGTTAATAAAAAATCTTTTGGTTGAATTTTTTATTAGCAATTTAAATCATGTAATTTTAAATTTTGTTTTAATTTCAGTCCTAAATGATTAAAGTTGCAGCAAAATACTAAATTACATGATCAAAAGATAAAAAAATTAGAAATCTTGGGACCAAAAAATCTACGACATTAAACCAACAGGACTAAAAATGCAATTTTACTTTTAAAAAAACATTTTTTTTAGAATGGAGATTTATTAGTATCAAAGTGTGCCGTTTTGTCAGGGCAAAGCTGTAGACATTGCTACTCCCTTTGATTTTTTTTTTTAAGACATTACACAAGACACAAATTGTAGCGTTTACGCGTTTTTAATTATCTTATCAATTAATTATTGTTTATTATTCTTATTTTAATTTTTCTTACTATCATATTATAATTATTTTTTTTATTGTCGCATTGATTAATCAATGTTTTTATCCAAAGCACATGGATTAAATCAAATATTCAAAATCCACACGCGTACATACATTTGCTAGACTATCTTTATTTTAATATGGTCAATGTAAGAAACGGGGAACGAGTGCGAACCCACTAACATGAAGCACACCAAAAGAGGAAAAAACCCATATGAAGCTCAAGTTAAGTTCCATCCCAAAATCAATTAGTGGAATGAGGAGTAGCCCATTAGACTTATAAGGTGAGTCTATTTTCCATGTATGAACGATGTGCGACAACTCACAAGTGATATTTTAACGCGCCCCCTCACTTGTGAGTCCTTCGGAAGCTCAAGCCCAACTGGGTGCCCCAAGCCTACTAGAAGTAGACTCCCATAAACGGGTACGTGGGGAAGCAGACTCCCATAAACGGATGCGAGAGCCAAGGTGGGTCTATTTTCCATGTATGAACGATGTGGGACAACTCACAAGTGATATTCTAACAGTCAATATAAGTAATAAGAGAAAAGTGCATTTTTCGTCCTCTAAGTATACCCCTCTGAACAATTTAGTCCTCTTCGAATAGCCACTTTGAGTTTCGTCCTCTAACTTCGAAAAAAGGTTGCAGATTCGTCCCCGACTCGCCGGAAACTCGTTAATTGCCCGGAAACACGCACGTGACATGCACGTGATGGAAATTAACGGGCAACTCGCCTTACGTGGAGCCGGTTTTTACACGATGGTGTGGGTTTTGACACGTAGACCAACAAACTTAAACGAAAAAACAATAAAAAAATCCACGTGTCGACACACGTGGAAATGGAGGGAAAACAAATGAAATGGCCCGAAGTTGAACAGGCACAAAACGAATTGGCTCTTCTTCCCACAATCGATTTCCCCCCAAATTGTCTCCGAAAAAAACCCTACATTTCCATCCTTCCCATTTCTCTCTGAAAAAGAATCCAAATCTCGAAGAAGCAAGAACTGAGAACCAAGAAGGCAAATGATTCCTGAGAAGGTGTTCATCCGGAAGAAGGTTCGTATGCACAATGGACCTCCCACATACGGTCAGTGCCAATTTTTTTGTTTGTTTATTGAAAATTCGTGCTATGTAGAATCCTAATTGAGGTGAAAATGGTACATTTTTTAAAGTTCGTAGAATTAAAATGAAATGAGGTTCTAAATTCCGTACAATATAATGAAATTAGGGTTCTTTGCAAATCGTATTCATTTAATTACAAGCCGTAATTTCAGAAACAAATTAGGGTTAATTTGTAAACCCTAATTTTGAGACAAATTAGGGTTTTTAACCCTAATTTTAAACAATAATGTGGTGAAAACCCCTAATTTCATTCAAAATATATAAGTTGTACATTCTACCATTGATTATTGGTGTCGTCATTTGATAACCCCTAACTTATTATGTTTGTTGTTTTTCTGGTTGACTTGGGTTTGGTTCCATAGAAAGTAAAGATCATTTGATTGTCCAACTTTGGTGTGGAGGTCAATTTTTGCATTCTCCAATTGACTATTATATTGGGGGTTCTAGTATGATGTTTGACTGGGTAGACAAGTCAAAGATTGGTGTTGATACATTGGATTGTCTTAGTGATCTATTTGGGTGTGTAGGAAAAAGAAGGTATTATTTCAACTCGGGTGCTACATTTAACCTGCTTGTGGATGATTCAATTGTACGTAATTGGGCTAAATGTTTCTATACTAGTAGATTGATGGAAATTCACATTGATCTAATGGATGAAGGCCAATTTGTGCCTACTTCTAAGTATGATGATGGTGGTTGGGTAGAATTGGAGAAAAAAAAAATGAGAGTGAATCACAGAGCAGTGAAACAAGTGAGAGTGAAATGAGTGAAGAGACAGATAAGGGTACTGAAATGAGTTGTGAAAAAAAATGTTAATGGGGGTACTCAAAAAAATGTTGAGGTGTCTGATAGGGGTGATGATGGGTGTGATAGTGATGGGGGTGATGAGGGCAGTGAAACTATAAACAGTGACTTTGATCTAAGATCAGAAAGTAGTTGTGGGAGGGATGATGCAGACTTTGATCAGAATGTAGACAAATCTGTGGAGTTTGAAATTGAAACAGAGTCTGATAGTGGGGATGAAGATTTGGTTGAAACTCCTCTTGATTTTGATGAGTTTTGTTCAGATACTGAAACAGTTGAAAAGAGAGAAATTGTCTTTAATCCTAGCAATATCTATGATCCATCATTTGCACTAGGAATGGTCTTTGGTACTAGAGAAGAGTTTAAGAAATCTGTACAGTCACTTGCTATTAAGTCCAAAAGAAGTGTGAAGTTGAAAAAAAATGACAGGATTAGGGTCCATGCAGTATGTGATTCAGAAGAGTGTCAGTGGAAAGTGTATGCCCTGAAGATTCCTGACCAGGAAGCCTTCAAGATAACCACCTACAACCCCACTCATACATGCCCTACATCATTTCATCTTAAAAATATTAAAAGTAAGTGGTTGTCTGAGAGGTACTTGAGCAAGTTTCAGTCTGATCCCTCAAGAAAGGTAAAGGGATTTAGAAGGGAAGTGGTTCATGAGTTGGGGGTTGGGATTTCTAGGCATCAGGCTTATAGGGCCAATAAGAGAGCTCTAGAGATACTTGAGGGAAATCCAGATTCACAGTATGAAAAGTTGTGGGATTATGCCCAACAACTGAGGGATACAGATCCTGGTTCAACTGTGATTTTAGATGTTGAAGAAGGTGATGGTGTTCCTAGGTTCTCCAAATTCTATGTTTGCTTTGCTGCCCTGAAGGAAGGTTTTAACAGTGGTCTTAGGCCATAGGAGTTGATGGCTGTCATTTGTCTGGCCCCCACAAGGGTATTCTTCTTACTGCTGTAGGTGTTGATCCTAACAACAACATATATCCCTTAGCTTATGCTGTGGTTGGTATAGAAGCTAGGCATACTTGGGAGTGGTTTCTGATTGCATTGAAGCATGATCTTGGCATTGTACAAGACAATGATTGTACTTTCATTAGTGATAAACAGAAAGGGTTGATTGTGGCTTTTTAGAATGTTTTTCCTGGCTCAACACATAGATTCTGTGTTAGACATCTGCACAATAACTTTAAAAATGCTAGTTTCAGAGGGGCTTCATTTAAAAATGCATTGTGGGCTGCTGCACAGGCAGCTACTGTTGGTGAGTTCCATTTTAGAATGAGACAAATGAGAGAAAAATTTCCAGAAGCTGCAGACTGGTTCAATGACAAGAACCCTGCACATTGGTCAAAATCACATTTTGAGGAAAAACCCAATTGTGACATCTTGTTGAATAACTTGTGTGAGAGTTTTAATGCATGCGTTGTTGATGCTAGAGAGGAACCCATAGTGACTATGCTTGAATGGATCAGAATGTACTTAGTGAAAAGGCTTCAAAGAAACAGGGACAGGGCAGAGTTGAGATGGAAAAGCA